CACTCAAGAGTATATCAGCACTGACAACGCGCAGCTCCACTCACAACTGTGTGTTTGTGTGTTTAGAGGCTGCAGCTCAGTTTGCACTGCACTCTGCGTCGAGATGAGAAGGTTAATGCGCATGTTTGTGTGTGTTTGTTATTCTTTCTTGTGCATGTGTGTCTCCGCGCATCTGTTGGACTGAGCAGGTTAATGCCGGTTGACACATGCGGTTCACTGATCTCCTGGAGGAGTCGAGACTCACAGCAAAACCTTCACACACAGGTATCCATGGCAACCACAAAAATTATATTTCTTCCTTCGCCGGCAAGCCGGAGATTCCAAGATGCTGAAATGCACAAATACATTGTCATTACCCGGCAGCCTCATACTTAACAGGGTTAGGCTTTTTCTGCCTGCTGTTTTCATTGTTCGGTGTGTTGCCTACACATGTAATTTAGAAATTCCTCTTGTTACCTTTCCCCGACTGAAGCTCTATATTATCTTTACATGCAAGGTTGATGCTGCTCTCTGTGCCCACGTGAGGCTGCTTTATTGAAAAATCCTTCCATCCACAGACATTATTGTGTCTCTGTTTTACATTCCTACATATTTTTGTGCTCAACTTGGTTCTGCGATGGGAAATATTAGATTTTGTCAATGAAATGAAGCAATGGCGGCGAGATTGGCGAGACGTTATCAAATATTCATGTCACTTTACATGTGCTCCTGCTTGTATTTGGTTGCTTGTGAGGATTGAGGGCCTTGTAGTAGCATTGACTGACAGATGATGGGGAATAAAGCTCTGTTCTACTCCACTATCTTCCTCTGTTGTTGCTGACAACTTCTGGTTGATTGCACAATGATCAGAGGCTTTTTCTCCCCTCCAACACCAGTACATATTTATAGAAATGAGATTATAGCCTGGGCTTCAACAGTATAAAACTAAATATCCATACACAATACTGTTAGCACAAAAAGAGCTAAAGAAAAAGAGATTTTTTTCATGACATATATCAATGTGTGTGTTATAAAACTGGAGATAAATACATGATATGATATTCATCTTAAAATACATTCAATAGCCTCAATTATTACACTGAACAGACTGTAAAATGGTGCAACTTCAAAAAGTTTATAAGCTTGTACACCGCACATCAAACATCTTTCTCTAACAATCCTCTTAAAAAGTGCATAAGACTATATTGTACCGAAAGGTGTACTCGCACCAGAGCCAAGCACATGCCTCCTTTTTTCATCTCTTTGAGGGGAAATAGGAATAAGCACATTGTGTCCTGCACCACATTCCTGAACAAGCAGAGGTTCAATCACATTTGCAGAAGTTATCGAAACTTTCAAAGAGCTCAGCTGGCGCCTTAAGCCACAGGAAATTCACTGGGACATCTGGAGGGATGTGTGCAGATTATTGCTCATTTAGTCTGTTCTAGACATCAGTAGGAAGAGGACTGAGATGGCTAAACACACGCACAGACTGGAGGATGCACACACACACACACACACACAAACACACACACAAACAGGCTTGGCTTTGGCAGATCTAACCCCAGGCTCACCACAACACACCTGTGTATAATCCCCCATGATGCCCTCTGGTCGTTTGTCCAATCCCCTCGCTACTCCTGTCCTCGCTCATCCAATCAGAGGACAGGTCAGGTAAAGTTTGCTTCCATCTCTTTAGCCCTGTGTTAGCGTAAAAGGATGTGAAATATAAAATTCACTGCTGGTGTCTGTTTGGTGTTTTCATTTGATGCGGTCTCGGATTCCTCACATGTCCAGTCGTCGTGCAACAAAGAGACGGGAAAATAATCTGCAAAGACGCATGTCAGATTGTAGAATATCTTAAAAGTGGATTGATTATATTATTGTAAACTTCTGCTCGTTACAGTATGAACAGCAGCATTTAAAGATCCACCATTTTAAAAATGGTTTCTGAAGGTGGACAGATAAATAGATAGCAATATAACAAGAAATATAATATATTCTTTATATGAATCTCTCCTCCACGTCTGTGTCTGTCTGCATGCACGCTATTAGGGATATCTTTGTTTCTGATGTGGAGGAGGAGGATGCAGCCCACATCAAAACTTTTTTAAGTTATACAGTAGCGTGACCTTTATCGACGTGCATCATAAGATACAGGACTTGTTACTGTATTTTCTTGATCTCTGCGTTTGCTCTTCCAAACTACGCATATTGAGGTGAATATATAGATCTCATATAGATCCCAAATTATCCTGGGTCTTGAGAACAAAGAAGGAAAGGCCAAATTCTGTATATTCCCCAACCGGAGCTGCTCCATCTTCTCTCAAGGTGCGAAATGCAACCAGACAAAACCTCAACACCACGATAAAAGCTGAGGAAATTACTTCCTTATTTTAGGAGTGATTGATTGTCCCCCTGACCTGTTAGACTGAAGAGGTGGTTAAGAAGAGGAGGCAGACGAAGATAATTGGGCCCGGTGGTATCCAAAGCCCGGCAGGTGTTGAAAGAACTCTCATAACACAGGTACCTGCAGCGGCTGCAGCCCTGAACTCCAGCACACCTAGGATTTCACTACCTTGGAGGAATTTTGGTGTTTTATGTTTGGCATGTCTTTTATTGAATAGATGAAATATGAGGGATGCGTGTAAAACCTATTGACACGTTGGACATGCCACAAGAAAAAAAGTACATATACAGGTGTCAAAACTCCTCTGACGTGTCAGCAAATAAATGGTGCGTTTTTTTGTTTCATCTTTTCTTGGCACGAAAATAATGTCATTCACTCTTTGAAAGTGATGTCAGTTGTTAGAAATATCTCCCCCATTTACCAGAGAGGTGTAATTCCCTTACCTGTTGAAAAGGAGGTAAAAGCTTACACTCATGAGCAAAAGGATCAGAGATGGAATTTTGTTGAAGTGAAAAAGCACAGGTGTTTTTACTCTTTAATTTCATTAGCGATGCATAGGGCTTTCGGAGTCCTTCTAGCCATTTCAAATGAAGAGGTAAAAGCCGGGCATAAGCTTAAATGATAACATTCTTTCTCAGAGAAAAATATGCATGTACGAATCAAAGCTATTGTACTATCCTTATTATTATCTGCAAGCCAAGGGCTCTGTTCCAATTAAAGAATACCACAGATGGACCATTCAGCGAGCAAGCACACACAAACGAACCTACAATAGGTACAGTAAAGTACCCAGTATTACTGAGCCAAGAGAAGAGCTTTTTACTTTAAAAACTATTTAATCAGGAAAATCAACGCCTCACATCAAAGAAATGGAGATGAGGGACAGGCGGATAAAGAGGCTCATCAAAGAAGGAGATCTAGTTAGGGATTCAACGCCCTAATTCCCTTTCTCTTAAAACCTTCGTCAGAGGGGGCACAGGGCCAATTTGCTCCCTAAATGGCTGCGTGTGAATGGGCAGATTGCTTTGCATAGCCGCTGGGAATCTGGGCTTCTTCCTCTTTTTCTTCTCCACACGGAGCCTGTGAATTAGAAAAGATCCAAAGACAGATAGGCTTAACGGAGCCCTAGCTACCTTCCTTAAGTCCAGAGCCCTGTTCCAACTTCCAACTAATTCAATCCATGGCCTAACTCAATTAATAGACTTTAATGCACTGTTTCTTCTTTATCTGTTCTCTTTCCAGGGGGATTGGGAACTTCACTTGGAGTTGTCGAGTAATATCTGCAAAAAGGTTTGAATTGTAAGTCTGCCTGAATGTTAAAACAATGACATGTCCCGGCGGCATTGCGGTATATGCATCCTTAATCTCCAACATCTCTTTAATCTCGCCTTCTGGGACTCGCTGTACATTAATGTAATGTAGTGCATAAAATATTGACAAACAGTCTTCCAGGTCTCTGGCTGTATATGCATTGCTATAGGATTCATTAGTCAAAATGTCCTTGATGTGAGAGGACCTTCCAGTATCCACACGGTAAGACCTACGCTCTTTACATAATGTCAAACCAATCATCGTCTCGGATTGCAACCTCCGCCTCAAGGTGTACGTTTTCTTTTAATCAAACGAGGGGCTATTTCAATACTTCTGTGTGTTTAAACTGTACAATTCATTAATTTTGGCCTTGCATTACCACCAAGGACATATACCCTCACACATATGCTCTTTCGAAGATCACATCGGTCAGTAGCATCAATTATTTAAGATCAGCCCTGCCAGTACACCTTCCCAGTATTCTTCGGGGCATTCATGCACCTCATGAGGACAAATATACCACGCTTTCCTCTCCGCTCAACAGAAACACTAACCTCATCTGAGTGCAAATGTGTGTACGTCTGTCTGAGCCGGTAGATCTGAGACCAGCTCTCCGCAATAGGCTTTCTATCACGCCTGCAGTTCCGATTGATCGTCTCGGCAATCAGCAATTAAGCCCTAGTGATCAGAGCGGGAGAGGGGAGGAAGGGGGAGGGAAGAAGAGGTGGGAGGTAGCCCCCCACTCCAACCCCACCCCGCTCTTCTCTTGTCAGCCCAGGAAAGGCTTCACTCAGCTGGGGTGCGTTTGGCCCCGGGCTGGGCTCACTGGTGGAGGTTAACTCCAGCATAAATAAGCATCTTTGGACTCATTACAGGGATTAGAGAGTAATTCGCCTGCGAGGAAGGAGACGACTGCCAGGGTTTTGGTACAGTTTACTACAGTCTTATAGGGGCGAGGGCCCTGGAGATTACAGAGGGAGAGAGATGGAAAGGCAGCAAAAGAGAGAAAGGCCAAGGGAAAAGAGAGGCTGGCTGTCAAGTGTGTGTGTGCATGTGTGTGTGTGTGAGAGTCAATCCAAGCCCCCGGCTGCCCCCTTGATCTTGAGCATGTTGGGGTGCTGTGAAAACGGATAATGGGAGTTAGAACGACCGGGCCTGTCTAGAGAGAAGTGTGCTGATTGTTATAACTTTCCCTCATCTCTCTCTCCTCCACTTAACTAAATAAACACCCAAGAGGTAGCACTCTATCAATTTTAATGATGTTGAAATACAATTTAGGCACAAAATACACAACAAATGCTAATTTGGCCATGATGAGAGGCATCAGAAATTCCTCCCATTATTTATTCAGCTGACTTTCTGCATTTTTCATCAGAACAAATATTCCCATTTCAACAAACACACACACACACATACACACACGCATACACGTGCTAACACACAGCCAATTTGGAGCATAAATCAACACGTTCACTCATCAAATATATGCTCTGTGTGGTTCTCTGTAGTCTGTCCAGTGCACCAAAGACAAATAGTTCTGTCCAAAGTCCAGCCGGAGAAACGGGGAAGGGGCAGAGGATTGTCAATATATGCTCACATATATTAAACATAGCAGGTCTATGTGTGTTCAGAAAAGACACAGACATCATGAAGACTGGAGTCAAGTCATAGACTAACTCATGACTTAATGGGGACTATTAAACCATTGTCTTTTTTTAGGGTTAGGGCTATAAAGATATAACCACCACTTTAATTTCAATAAATCCCTGCAATTACAAAATAAACTGAGCTTCTTCTCATCGTCACCTGCCAATCATCTCAACCTCCATCTTGACCGGCTCCGGCTGCCCTGCCTCTGCGCCACATTTGGGGCAGGTGAGGTAAGGGTCTGCGATGCTGTGGCTCTTGATGCAGTAGTAGCAGAAAACATGTTGGCAGCCTGCCGTGTGAGGCATGGTCGGCCACTCTCCGCACAGTCCACACTCTTTCCACACCCCTTGCCCTTCCGTCGCTCCCTCCCCATCGGCGCTTCCACCCCCTAAAACAACTGAAAGCACCGTCGCCTTCAGTTTCCTTGTATTGATCAGAGGTAGCAGAAAGATGAGGAACTCGGCAAAGCCGTGCCACAGCAGCTCGCGGTTCATGTACTGGTAGGTTACGTCCCGGACCACGTTGGGCTTGCTGAAAGCCGCCCGAGCTCCGACAATCCTTTCAGCCAGGACAGGATGGCGACCTTTCCTTAGGAACACGAGGAAGTTAAAGAGGCTTGCCAGCTGCATGATACTAGACACAAGGGTGAGGCACTTGCGGAGACTCTGCTGGAGTAAACCACCGTCTCTTTCGGACACAGGCCCCCCTGATCCCAAGCACAGCAGCAGGCTGTGGGAGCGCTCCTGAAGCCAGCGTGGACCTGCAGTGAGCAGGGCCAGACCCAGCTTCTGCTTGCGAGACAGAGGTCTGTACCGAGGAGACGAGGACAGGACGTTGTGGTAGCGCAGGCTCAGTAAAGACTGGCCCACTGTGGCACTGCTGGAATAAAGTGTAAACCTCCACAGGAGCAAATGGAGCAGAGCCCTCAGTTCAGGCTCCAGCGGGGTGAGTAGGCCGGGGCGGAAGTTCTGGAAGCACTGGGAGAACTGGGTCCATACCAGCTGCTCTAGGGCGGAGTCTAGCTCGAGGGCATCCAGCTGGCTGATGCGCAATACCGGGGTCTGCGGGTCAGCTTCGGTTTCGGGGCCAGAACTTCCAGCTGTCCTTCTTTGGTTGTCCTCACTTTCAAGACCTGCTGGAGACAAGTAAACAACAAGGATGGACATTGAAAATATTTTTCAGGATTTTCACAAGTGGATTTCAATGTTGAAGTTTATACATCATGTACAAATACAAGGAGATCGAGACCTTTTTACAGCCTGGATCGGATTTTCATTTTAGTTTGGGCCATGATACTTTATTCACCAACTTTACTGTTGACAAAATAAACTTCAAAAGTGATCAGACAGGTTTTAAACAAATGAAAGTAAAAGTAAAAAACGATCCCCAATGACGGCCAAAACTACATAAACAAGATCAAGTACATAAACGTCTCATAACTTGACATGATCAAATATCTTATTAACGCACAGGCAACACCATACTTGATCTATTAAAGTCACAAACATGACCAACTATTTAAAGGACAACTGGGTTTTTGGGAGGAATGAGGCCCCGGAGGTGAGGCCCATCCTGTTAGGAAGGTTATTTTCTCTTTATACATAGGAACGGAAATCACTTTTCACATGTAAAACCCGTCCTTAATGCAACCTTTGAGCTGCGCATTGCGGAGGAGCAGGGGGTCTTAGACTGCTCTCTCCAGTGTATAAACACAACACAATCCAACACACATACACACACATAGACACACACACACACACAAACACAGGAGGCGAAGCCCAGGGGCTCTTGGTGCCTGCTCCCTCTGGAGATAGGGTGTGTGTACAAATCACATCACTAGGGATTAGGCTAACGGCACAGTCTCTGGTACACCGTAAACATCTGCCAAATGTGGAACAATTTTCCTCCCCTTAGAGTCGACTCCATATGGGATCCCACCATTGTGACGTCTGGGCTATTTTGCGCTGCATACGTTTTCCAAACTGCTCACAGCCCCCCCCCCCAGTTTTATCTGCCCTTTCCTCAAATGAAATGCTTAAGAAGTGGGAGACTAACTAACGCACGGAGAGACAGAGCAAGGGGCCCACAGAGAGAGAGAGAGAGACAGAGAGGCCTTTTTCTGACAGTGGCTTTTGTGTCTCGCTGAACAGGATTTGTCACGAGGCTTTAAAAGAGATTTCAGCCGGGTAAATATGGCAGTTTTGACAGAAAGAGAGAGAGATGATGGTCACTTTAGACGTTTCTCGAGGAGGTAAAAAAAAACATTCTAATATGTGGTGGCAATGCTCGGGTTTATTGTGGCGCACAGGACCATCTGTGTATTCATGATGTTTCAATAGAGCCAGGATACACCGTCCAACTAAGTTAGAATTAGCAAATGAATGAAAAAAGAGTGAATTCCCGCTGAAGTAAGCAGGTGTGACAAATTCATTGAGCTGCATTTGAAATGCTGCCATGTTTAGTGACTAGAACCTCGCCTGTGACGGAAGTAGAGTTTGGGTTTAAAAAAAAAATAGAGGTAGTCTGAATGTGTATGGTAACCAATAAACAGGCTCCATTTGTTTAGCTTAATCTGAAAGTTTTTCCTTGATGGGAGAAAATGTGCAGATTATGTGCCTGTGTGTGTGTGTGTGTCAAGGGTAGCCTTGATCTATGCAGAGCTCTAATACAGAGCTAAATTAATCTATCAGTCCATGGTTACACAGACGCGCACACACACAGCCAGGTGGTGGAAATCCCCGTCACAGCAGCAGCCCTCTCGGGAGAGCAAACCCGGCCGGGTCCAATATTCTTTTCAAAGCCTTTTATCGAGCAGTTTACAAGTTATGAATGAATATGTTTTATTTGGGGAAACACGGTATTGACAGCCACCTATCAATAGTAATGTGACTATTGTCAAGGGTCTGTCAATATTAATGTAATTATGATGTAGAGGGATCAGAGGGATGCCGGAGTCGGGGGCCAAGTAACATCTCCTGCCCACTGCCATATCAATAGCTGGGATTGCTATTGACAGCTTCCCTTCAGACTTGCAGCACTTGCCAAATATATAACAAGCAGACACTTCAGTCAATGCCGGGCTGCCTATAAAAATTAAGCATTTGAATTTACAGGGCTTTTACCGTGGACAGCTGGAAATCCATGTTCCTTATGTAATAGTCAAAAGTCACAGTCAATGCCAGTGTTTACAGAGCACTGGCAAGGTGTGTGTGTTCAAGGACAGACACTACAGCATTTGCACACAAGAAGTATACACAGATACAAGCAGCCATGCGGACTATTTCTCTGATGAATTCGCTCAAACACACACACCTGGTGTGATATATTGACTTGATAATTCTCTTGTGGGTCAGCCAACCAGCTGACCTGAAGACAAAAATGCCCTCTCTTGGAGAGTGTGCAGCTGACAACCAGCAGAGTCAGAACGCAGGTTAGAGGAGATCGCTGAAAATCAACAGAAAATCCAGGCCCTGGGTTCTGGGGTCTGGCATTTCTACCAGAGCTGTATAAAATACTTTAAAAACATCTTCCTGGGAATATTAAAGGGTATTTTGATTCAGGTCAGATGAGAGGTTTTTTTTCTCCTCCCCTTGTTCCCTTAGCCTGTGCATCTTGTTCAGACAAAGATAGCGCACTGACTCAAGGCTGACTGCCATAGCTTACAGACAACAACAACAACAACAACAACAACAATATCCAATCTAACAGGGAACACACTGCAACATCGCTTCAAGGCAAAAGGGGCCATGACCAGCGTGAAGAAGGAGAGACGAGGCAACAAAAGCGTACAGAGCATCAGACTGAAGCCTCGCAGCTGCACCAGGTCCTCTGAAAACTAGACAACGGGCTGTAGTGACAGCTACCCAACAGAAAGATGGATAGACAAAGAGACAGACAAAAAAAAAAAAAAAAAGACAGACACGTCAGACAACACGTCATGAAACCCCCAGCTGGGAGCTCTGAGCTACTGTCTACTGATACAGTGAAGGAAGGAAAAAAAACTGGGGGCAAAGATAGCTAAGGAGAAAAATGAGGGAGGGGAAAAAACAGATAAGCACAAACCTCTCCCTAGGAGCTGACCTTGAGACTGACGGTCACAATAAAGGAGGAGGGAACATTCCTGAAGCATATGCGGCTCAGCCACACTGAGGTGCGGGCATCCAGGGAATAGCCTATAGACAGAGGAAGGCTGCACTTTCTTCTTGACCTTGGCTTTGGTGTCTAGGGAGGGGATGAGGGTGTTTAGGGCAGGGGGGGGACTAAAGACTGGGGGATGCTGGGAAGGTGGGGTATCTCTAGGGGATTGCGTTTTGCTTTTTCTGCAGTGGACAAGTGCTGTGAAGCTGCTCACAAGGCTATCATTCCTTGCCGTTTGGAAACTGTACATCCAAAAGTCTCGATTTAGCTCCTGGCGTGGCGCAGGGCTCAAATTCCTAAGCACTTAGCTATGGTTGTTACCATAATATATTTGCTGAAATAATGCAGAAACGTTCACTTGGCTTACTATGATGCTTGTAGCGAGAAATAGGCTATGCATTGGCAAAGCATGGATTACAACTTTACATTTTCTTCTCTCGCTCATGTAAATTAATTTGTGTAAAAGCTCTGGTGAATAAAACCTATTTCTCTGAGCGCTCCAGTCTCGTTTTTTTCCCCCCTCTCTCCCGCTCCCTCACTTTATTGCCCTTCTTTCGCCAGGAACGAGTGCGGGCCTATTAGCCATGGCCTTCTAATGTCCTCACTATGAAAACGGATGAGAATGTCAGATTTAGAACTTTTAAGAGAGTGATGTCATACAGCAGACCGCAGGCATTACGGGGGGACGCGAAGATTACCCAGGCGGTAACCAGACTAATTGTTATGAGTCTGTTTCATGAAATATGAATGTGTGCAAATGCACAGAGGGGTCTTCAGGCTGTGTGTATGTGTGTGCGTCACACACTAATGCTTTATCAAGGCTCTCCTCTTTCTGTAATCACCCAAGACTCCTCCGAGCCATAGGGTGAGGGCCAAGCTAATGCCTGAACACAAAAAAAAAAAAAAAAATACACATCAGTTAGAGCTGCACATCTGACACACACAAAAAAATGTGCTCTGCTTAATCTGGTTTGCTCAGAAGGTGAATTATTTAAGAGAATTAATTGATTTCAGGAGTAGGAAGGTTGAGTATGCTGGGGCTGTATGAGTAATAAGTACAGGGGTTTGCAAAAAAACAACTTAAAAAGTAATGAAACATTTAGAGGGCAGAGAGGCACAATGAACGTGGAAGGGAAAAAGCGGAACAGCTAATAAATGAGAGAACTGAAGTCTTTCTTAGGAGTCACTGAGAGAGCGCTCGGGCCTCACCTCATGCAAATAACATGTGTTGTACTGAGGAATATTTGATTAGCACCGTTTTTTTTAGCCTCTGCTTCATGCATGAAAATATTTTGGTTGCTTTTTTAATATGTGTAACAATTAAAATGTGGAAAATTCTAAACTGAGGTGAAGCTACTGTAAAATCTATGAGAGTATGAAGGCCACTGCAGGATGAGAGGGTTAAGAAAACCGGAATATCCCTTGATATGTATCTATGCATCAGTTAGAATTGGATTGCTGCCGCTTCAAACTGTACCCCTAACGACATGTCAGCATGTTATACTTTCATCTCAATTTGGAAGAGAAACCTGAACATGACTTGATTTTAACACAATTGATTTAGCATACTGAATGTTATGAGGACATTTTAAATGGCCTCTCTGTAACAGCTGTAAAAGGAATTGGCTGACAAACTGTTTGCCAGTTCTTATCCATCTTTGTAAAGCTGGTAAACATGGATTATAGAGTAGCACTGGAAGGACAGAAAAAAAAAAATGGACAAAATCATTGTGAGAATTATGAGGACACATAGATAAATTAGATCATTGTGCAGCTTCTGAAACTGACATTAAAATCCTTTGACACTGTTGCTCAGCATATAACAATTAGGGATGTACCAATCCGATATCTGGATCGAATATCGGCCCTGATATCATTAAAACAGATGGATCGGGTATCGGAAAATGCATGTGTGGAGGTATTTCACACTATTTCAACTGCTGTTGCACTTAGGAAAGAACTGTGTAGTCATCAATGCCTGATGCCTCTAGTCTTTTCTGTTCTACATGTAAAGGTATATAGCTTTTTAGGTCAACCATGGTATCGGATCGGCATCGGGTATCGGCTGATACTCAAAGCCACAACATCGGGATTGGTATCGAAACTGAAAAAGCTGGATCGGTGCATCTCTAATAACAATTAGTTGTACAATATATGCAGCAATGTATGTGGAATATATTTTTGCTTCTGTTTCAAGAGAAACTATAAAGCTAATCCAAGTGCACAGATAACCCCGCTGCCTTTATCACTTGCCTTCATCTGGAAACTGTATAAACTGACCTTGTGACCCCAGAGTGAGATCACAGCCCAATTTAACTTCAGTGACTCCCTTAAAAAACACACTCATTACACTAAGTGTTTAGCTCCAGAGGCACGCGCCTGCACCTCAATCTCATGCAATCAGCCGCTCCACGCTCGCCTCATAATGACATTGTCTCTTAATTTTTTAAGCCCGTGCCCATCAGTCTTTAACAACAACAAAACCCAAATCTGCTCCATTTTGATAATAAGGCAAAAGCATTATGTGATAATCACAGTGGGGATTAGGTTTTGGCAGAGTGTGCGGGAGCAGTGCAGTCAAAGCCAGTGGAAAAGAGAGATATAACCAAGAGACAGATAAGAGTAGAGCAGTGATGATTGGGATGAGAGAAATGAAGTGAGTAGTCTCTTGAAAATCAATAAGATCAACTTTGCCTTGAATCTCAATGTGGAAGGTTTTGATCTCTGGCACTGATTATTTAGGGGAATAATGGAATTATGTGCGGAGCAGTATAACATACTCTTGAGGGAACACACACTCACAAGGTTACCATCCAAAGTTGCAGTTGGTAAATACACCTGAAGATGACTTAAGATGAATACTAATTCACAGTAACGATAGTCGGTCGTTTGAAGCGTATGCAGCACACACATCGACTGGCATTAACAATCGATTTGGTTTTAAATGCATACATGCAGTTAAGGGGGACAAATACCGCTTTACACACACAACACTGACAGCAACACGGAGGTGATATTAGTCCATGAGTCCGTTTAAAAGAAGCAGACATGACGCATTTGAGCTCTCTGTGAGAAAACCAGAGTATGGGAGAAAATACTGCACACTTGAATGTTCGCTAAACAACATAACAAAGACATATTTACCCATTTCTTTACAGGGGAAAAGACAGTCCTCCCCGATAAGACGAAAACAATCTGTATTTCCGCATTGTGCAGTAACCCCCGCCCCTTCAGGAAAAGCCACCAATGGTGTACCGTAACGTCACGATTAAGCAGGCGATTTGCACAAAGGAGCCAATCAGATCGCACAGCGCCAAGGCAGCGGCAAACTGTAGGGGGAAGCGTCGGTCTGTCTTCATATAACTCATTCAAAGTCCTCCGTTGTAGTAACGGCACATAGCGACCAAGTTGCTGGTGAAGCCACGGTAATTCACACAAAGTAACACAGATAATGTCTCGCACGCACTCAAAATGCCATGTAATGTATTTCCGTGTCGCTCTACAGTTGTCAGGTAATATAAACTTTGAGGCAAACGTTCAACCAGAGTGACAAACAGTGATTATGAGTGTTAGCTAACGTTAGTCCGGGTACTTTATTTGAGCCGTGCTGAAAACTGGCACAAGCATGAGCCACAAGACAACACCACCAGAGTCAGGTGAAAGCTCAAAGCTGTCGGGACAGGGAAGTGATACTTTGACCTCTGTCTCAGGAGACGAGCTGAGAGGTGACGTCCAGGGTCCAGAGACTGAGACAGACAACATTAAACAGCTGCTAAACGAGTTCAGAGGACTTTATGAGCAGAGGTTGAGATGTCTGGAGCTGGACTCTACAGCAACAGGAGAGGAATCATTGCAGGTGAGTAGCCTTTGGAGCTGATGTCGTCTGAATAAAGTGTGTACGGTAGCGTGGCCGAGCGGTCTAAGGCGCTGGATTTAGGCTCCAGTCTCTCTGGAGGCGTGGGTTCGAATCCCACCGCTGCCATTATGACCATTTAACACTACAGTTAGTTGTACTGCTATCTGTTGTCTGACAAATGGCAATTATGTATATGTGAAGAATACTGGGACATCCCCCTGGAGGCATGTTTAACTCATAGTACCTTTGGTAAGAACCTTTGTAATGGTTCATCAAGCTGTCAGCGTAAGCATGGAGCCCACACTGTGACTCTCTGAAGAAATAATATCATGTTTTTGGAAAAATGAAAAAGCAATTCCAGAGAGAAGCAGACAGAGGGGTCTACAGTCTGTGTCTGAAGGATATATCCAGGATGTCAAACTGACTCAGCAGCAACAACAGGTTAAAAAGACAAAGATAGTTAGAAGCTAAAGCCGAACTATAGGCTACAGATCACAGTGTAGAAGTGAACCACCACATCACTGCTGATCGCCACACAAGACAATTAATATAAAGGGAAACTTTGCTAATATTGAACCAGCTGTGTGGCATTGCAGTGTGTGCAGATGAACAACAACAACAACGTTCATCTGCACACACTGAGATGACACACAGCTGGTTGAATATCAGCAAAGTTTCCCTGCTTCCCTTCACTGGTTCCTGTACAGCAGGATCTGTATTTTTTTCACTGTTAGTAATCATTAAAAAGCAAAAGCAGCATGTGTATACATTCAGTAGGCTAAATCTTCAGTAGCTAGCTAGCTAACCCTACACTTTTCAGGGTCTGACTTTGGTTTTGGAACAGGGAAGAAACTTATGTCTTTTTCCAACCTCTCCAGGTAACGAGTATCATTAATACACAATGCGCCCCAGGCACAACATTTAGCTCCAAATCTACAAAACCAGCCTAAAAACGAAGGAAATCAGAATGGACTGCATTAAAGTCAGCTGTGTTGTTGTCGGACGCTGGTTTGAGCCAGCCTGATGCTACATTATGATTGGCCAGTCTGCGTCCACGGGCAGGACTTAGTAAAGGGTCAATTGCCTGTACTGTGTGGTGTTTTGTCCCCAATGTCTTTCTGTTGTGTCTCTTTCCATTGGGTTGAGGACACAGTGGAGACAGCCAAAATTCTGACATGATCTCACATGATCAAATATTGACCTCCTTGTGATCCTGTACTTGTACGGACTAAATTAACACTGGAGACAAATCACTCCTAATTTTATCGAAACATTTTAAGTAGCCATCCATGCCCCTGGACACTGGATTGTATTTATGGGTCTGATCAACAGCAAAAATTATTTAAAAAAAAAAAAAAATACTGAGAATCCCATTCAGACCCCAAAGCCCTGCAGGATGTGTAGTTTAGTTTTTTGCCATCATCTATTGTCATTGGGTTATCATCCATTCAATACAAATCAAAGAACATCCTGTCCACCGTGACTCACGCATCAGAAGATGACCTCTGTCCTGTCAGACAAATGACAGGAGGAAGCGCAGGGGTGCTTTCATAAAGCCGCAGCACTTGTAACAGGTGGCAAATTGCATTATGTTTCCATCTGAGCAGCAGAGATCAGGAACACAGATCCACACTCATATTTAAAAAAGAGAGGTTTCTAATCATCAGGATTGTCATGTGACATCATTTAGCTACAGAATGTAGCCTGTGTGAGCTGGGCTGTGCATCAAAGCAAGTGTAACAAGGTTTCAGAGATGGGTTTCGGTCAGCCGGCCCCAGTCGCGGGCCTGCTTAACAAGGTTATGTGTTTAGAACCCAGGAGCTCCCAAGTCCTAAAGGTTGATGTGCACAATTAATCATAAAGGTTGTCCATTGAAAACACAGAGAACCATTCATCCATGAACCATTGTAGGTTCATGATGCTTCCTGACATGTTAGAACAACCTCACAATTAAAGGAGCTCTGTACGATATTCAGAGCATTAATAAAGCAGCAAACAATTATTTGCTATATGAAGATATAGTGGAATAATGGCATCCTGAGTAAGAATAGAGTCACGCTCCTTCTATTTCTGTTGTAATCTGAGCTTCTCTGTTCTTTGTTGTGGTAGACGGTGTGTTTATCCCATTGGTGAGCAAATTGCTGCCAATCTGCACTCCACTCATATGCGGGTTACAACTGATATTGGGAAGGTATTATCGATAAAGTGTTCTAGCGACGCTCTGGTTCATGCTTGGTTAACACTGTTAGAACTTTTGCTATTGTTAGCACTGTTCAGGCTGTTAGCACCATTAGCTGCTAGCCGTCGGCTCAGCCAACTCCATGTTGAGAGCTGTGTGCAGACAACTTCTGAATCATAGATACGCTCAAAATATCGTACAGTGCTCCTGTAAAGAATTCATGTAACGTTTTTTTTTATTCTCTAGGGCAGTGATCACTCTGAGCTCCAAGACTGCAGATGGATTTTCAAAAGGAGGGTTTTTTAAACCCCAAAATTTAGCACACAAAGAAATTATTTGCCAAAATTGTGGGCCCATAAAAGAGGTCACCTAAACCGAACTGAACTCAGGCTATGTTAACTCAACACAAACTCAATTAAAACTGAACAGACAAAACTGACCCACCAAGACAAAGGAAAACATAAAATGAGATCAAACCATTTTCGAAACAGAGGGGTAACACAAGGAAAAACACTACCAACTGGACTACATATAACATAACAGAACAGTTAGTCTGTTGGTATAAATATTTTAGCACCAAAACAAAAGCCCCACCAACCTAATATAGCTTCTAAAGAAATAAACCAGTGATCCCAATCTCCCCTATGGTGTGACTGGCACTTGGTACATTCTGATTGTCCACTTCCTGTATTTAAGAGCCCTGCTTTAAGGCCAACTTTTCCTCAGGCCTGATAAGATGTCCCTTCAGCAGCAGCAACCACCCTCAGCACTGTAACTGGTAAATAAATAGAAATTAGAACAGCTTATGACAGATTTATCAAATGATAAGAAAATGACTCCATCAAGGGTGAACTATAAAGAAAACTAAGGCGTGCACAGGAGGGTTAGCAGCATTTATATCAGCTGTGCAGCAGGTGCGGCCATCACAAGCATGATTCACTGGAAAAGCTGGAAAACAGTAAGCCAAACATGAGTTTTTGGATGCATTTTTGGTTCCACATCTTTTTAAATACAATGTCAACCCTAGAATGTTATCTCAGATACTGTCACCTCTGCCACCTTTGTAAAGTTACTCTCCCTGAAGCTATACATCAGTGTTATATTATGTGTCGGGGGACGCTGTAAACCGCTTGTTGACTTTTTTGGCTGTAGGGGACAGACGTTTATGAACACACATGTACAGGTGCTCCTCTAAGGCAAAAAATAATTCTGAAATTCAGTGGCAGTCCCTTTTTATCAGAGCTGCAATCACTGTATGTGTAGGCTATCTGGCTACCCGTGCAATCCCTTTAAGGAACAAGTGCATAAGCAGGTTTTTCAACAGAGATAAAAGACTGACCTGGAAGACTGTGCTGAAGAACTGTGAGGATCTGATATATTAGATCAGTTGTGGAGCATGTTCGGGTGACCTATTTTTTGTAAACAATGAAATGTGAACTTAGAAATGCGTTCTTCCAGACACAAAGCAGCAACAGGGAATAACATCTTTCTGAGCCAGCTCTAACCCCTGACCAACTATGTACTCTCGTCTGCTCATGAAGTATTCCTTTCTAATAATACAGTTCAGATGTCATCTATTGTGAGTCCTAGGTGGGCTGCTGTATAAAAGCCAAGAGTATCTGACTGCCTTGTCTGACAGGGCTAGTTTTATACAGAGGTTTCGCAAAGTAAAACAATGTTATTTCAAAACCAATTTGATGCCCCTTAAGAATTAGGGCAATGACTTAGAAAGGAAATTCAGTCCAGTTAGAACAGCCTTTTCATGTATTACCTTTACTATGGAGGGTAGGCTTTCATTTCAGTATGTTTATTTCTTGGTTTGCTTGTCTGTTTGTCAGCAGGATTACGGAAAATCCTCAGGCCTGGTTTTTGTGAAAGTTGTTGTAAGGGTCTACGGTGGGCCAAGAAAGAACAGATCTGAATACACAAATTATTTTTCACTACTGTTAACAATGCGAGATGGGGCATTTGGCCTTGGCGAAAGTCTGCGCTCTCCGAGTGCCCTTGTGGTTACGATGAATGTTATGAAGCTAAACATTAGTAAAGCGGGTGAAAATTTACCGTCATAGAGCTGTGGGTCTGTATCGAGAGTATTTCTGGGTTCTACTCCAGATGTTAGAAATGCATGGATTACTTGTTGCAGTGGACTGAGAGCCTGGAGCCTGGAGGTAGAGTGGATCGTCCACCAATCGGAAGATCAACAGTTCTATCCCTGGATCCCTCAGTCCGCATGTCGAAGTTTCCTTGCACAAGATACTGAACCCCAAATTGCTCACGATTGCTGCTCCACCTGTGTGTGAATGGTTACTGACCAACCCTGTATGGTTACCCATGCAACTCCCTGTTGAATCAGATTCTTAATCTCAATGTGACCACCTAAAATACACAAGGGTTAGATAAAACTAAATACAACATACATTTTAAGACTCTGTTATCCTGTTTGTCTGGGGAGCTCTTATGTTTCCCTTGTGAGGCCACCATTGCTGGCAAGTAGTCCCTGTGTTTTTTTTTTTCTGTTCATTCAGTCGTGTGTCAAAGTGATATCTGACATCACTTTGACATTCGCTGAATCTTGAGGAAATTATACATCTCACTTCTGTAATCCGTCAACTTCAAAAACACTGATTTGCCAAGAGGGAGTACTACATTTATAGGTCAGCCTACGTCTATGTCTCCCAGGAGCAACGTTCGTATTGCAACTAATTTGCAAAAAGCGATTCTATGTCTACTGGCAATTTTTGGCCCCAACGTAGTGCAAGGTAGTTGCAGGAAATGTGGGTGGATTCGTGAAGTGCTTGACTTCAGCGCCGTAGACTGGCATTTGTGTCCCTTCCCCTGATGTAATTTAGTGTGTTTTAAAAAATATAATGATGCTTTATTTTATGTTTGTCAAATAGCTTCCTCTTACCTCACCAATGTTTATTATTTATCGAAATAAACCTCAAAATATACACATCACAATTTGGTAACCACATGTGGATATTGAAAGGCAAACAAATTTTGTATTTTACAATATTGTGTTCAGATACTTCCCCAAAGCATACAAAGCTAATACAAAATAGCCGTGTATCAATTTAATTCTCAGGAAAAAACTGTGGGATTTTGTTTCTGACTGACGCAGGATGTATACAGTTTTTAAGGCACAAATGATGTGTTTACGGCTCTCTTGTTTTTAATGGCAGTTTTGGTTTGTCATTGATTTGACTCCATAAAGTAAAACAACTTTTAATACAGAACAAAAGCTGCTTGGTTCGACTGTCAGCTTGTTAAAACACAGCAAATTAACCACAATTTTATCCTGCTGTGCTTTTATTCCTGCAGAAGAAAGTGCATTTCCTGTGGTCTTATGTGAATGACCTCGCAGACCAGAACCAGGTGCTGCTTCAGACAATTGAGGATCTGCAAAAGGAGGGTGACCACAAGGTTTCCGAATGGGGGACGAAGCTGCGCACCTCTGATCGTAATTTTGACGTAAGGTTTTATAGATATTTTTATAGCAATTTACCTAAATGAAGTAGTTGGCCCAGATAGAGCATCGCTGTTTTCTTTGATATTTCTGTATTTTCAACAAATTTACAGCTTTCTTTACTTCCTTGATAAATGTGTGTGGCATCAGCAGAATCATCTGCAAGAAATACAGTCAGGATTTTAATACATAAAGACTTTTAGAGACACAGTATAGGTACAATGGCAAAAAAAAAAAAAAAATACACAGTATATTTCGGAGCACAGGACCTACAACTTGCAGATATGACATGACTTTACTTGTGTGTGCCCACGCATGTATGAAACAAGAGCAATAAATAGAAAAAGTAAAGAAAAATGTGGCTCAGCTGTCCAGGTGAAACCCTGCAAAGATCTGCACCATGAATTTAGGTGCAAACCCAACATGTAACCTCTGGATACACACAAATAAATGTACTAACTTAAATGGCCTTCCTGTTTAACCAGGGGCATTTGCTTAGTATTCAGCAGTAAGTGGAGAAGCATATGTCAATAGAGTAAAGTGTCCACTTATAAATACCATCTATACACAAATATCAAGCACAAGAGAAAACAAGAGAGTGAGAATAACAGCGCATTGCTTTTTTCCCCCTACTCTGCGTTGTCTATCTCCAAGATCCTTTGTGCACACTTCTTGAGGCCAAGGCCTCTTCGACTTTACAGAATCCAATCAGTAGAAATCACACTGAATATGGTTAACAGTTAAGTCCATGAAAATCCCTCATTGTTTAGATGGAGCAATATCAGCGTGCGGAATAAAGGCAATGTAGAAAAGCAATTAGGACAAGCAGGGACCCATGCAACATTTTTTTCTGTTTTCAATGGTAGGAATTCTTTGTTGATAGCTGGTGTTAAAGGTATACTATGCAGGATTGCCGGTTGCTCTTTGTAAACATACCTGCCAGCAAAAGTAATAGTGGAAGCCATTCCCACATTCGCTCTTGTGCGGCGTCTCGCCTCTGTATTTGTGTTTTTCGACGCTGTGCCTCTTGGATACCTGCTGCTTGTCCTTACCTTTTTCGTAAAGCCTTGACCTCACCTGAGCGCTGTGGGGGTACAAACGTCCCCAACACAGAAAATAAGAAAATACAGGCAGAGGGCAGGAAAATACACAGCCACACACTTCTAATGGGTCATAAGTGATGATTGAGAGGGATTACTTCTGCATGAGTCTAGACGTGTCTTTTTATGAAAATCCTGCTTAGTATATCTTAAAAGATACGCTGAACTCATCAGGATAATGGATACTTAGAAATGAGTCAAGCAGAGGAAAGCCCTCTGTTTGTGGACCCAAGAAGAAGAAATCATACATTACCATTCATTCCAGTGGACTGGAGGTGCTGTGTGCAGAAACACTCTACCAACATTTTTTTCCTATTTTTAAAGATTGCATCGACGCAAAGCAAGACTATAAAGACATCATCACTCCATGTAGTGACCTTAAGGTATTGTTCCATTTCAGTTACGGCCAGGCTTCCATCAACATTCGCTCCTCTGAGTGGATTTTGCACACAGAAAAGTAATTATGGCCTTTTATACATCAAAGTACTTATCTGCTATTATGGAGAAGGTCAGAGGGCTAGCTTTGTGTGCTCTCTGCACTGGTTACAAAGGTCATGGTAATACAATGCTTTGCATTTTCCAACATTCAAAGCTTTCCATTTTTAACTTTCGTCACTCTAAAAGTTAATTTTCTTCAGTGGCACTGCTTTGGCAACAAAAAATAAAAATAAAAAAATACCGGCATCTGTACAGTTCTTCTTTCCTCTTTCTCTTTTCTTTGCTGCAAACTATAGTGCAATACATCCTAACTTACCATTTTCACATTGAACTGGAGGCACTTTATTAATTTATTAAGCTCTTGTTTAGATTAGATAAAAAACAGCTCAAGAGGAAAAGGAGAAGAAATATTTTTTAAAACCTAATTAAATGACATTCTCTTAGCTGCTAAATGTCCTTAATTTTACAGTTGTAAAATTTTGTTATTTGTGACAACAACTGCGTCTTTGGGCAGCCAAAGAGACACAGTATGAGGGTACATAACAGATTGTTGCCGCCCCATCGACCCATCTTCCGAGCTTTTGAATCTCCATTTTCACCCGTCTTAAACGATGCTCTCGCTGTCTGTTTATGCTACTTTGTATGTTTTCAGGGTCTATATTGGTAAACAAATACAAACAAATGGACTGCTTCACTCAACAGTCTATTAGGATAGCCAGGGGACAATAGTGTGTTTCTGCTCTGATGTCCATAATGTGAAATCCAATCAAATGAAGAGCATTTAGAGCTACTTATGGACCGTTCCACCATGTAAACGATGCAATGAGCTCTGTAATAGGAGCTTGGCTAACGTCTGATTGAATCGTAGTGTATGGTCTTGTTGATGCACAATAGGGTTGAACTGTAATGGACACTAAGCAGAGTTTGTTTTGTGGTCATAATGTCATGAAATCCAAGGCTTGTGTTCTCTGTTCTAGACTGCTGCAATTAGCCTGTTGTCTATTTGTCATCCATTGGCAGACGGATGTAGTATCTCCATGTTCCCTGTGTACAATATGAATTAAACAGTTCTTTGTTAATAATATGTCTATTTTAACCTGTGGTTACAAGACAGTACCTTCAGTATGTCTGAGTTCAGTTTAGTCTGGAAGTTATACAGGAATCATTTTAAAATCTGTGACACCATTGTCCAGGCTTGATAAACCCCACTGCACTGGTGCTCCACCCTGCTAAATTTACTCTAGTAATTCTGAACAAATACTTTATGACCAAAGTTATTATACTGAGGTACATTCATCTCATCCTAGTAGTGCAGTACTCATTGTCACAGGTTGTTATGGATTTTGAAAGATATAAAGAGGTGTATAGTTCGTCGTCCTAGTGGACTCCTGAACAGCTTTGTTTCACTCAGAGAATCTGTAGTAATTTAGGATGTAGACTCCCAATCCTTGCGGTGCTCTTGCCAGTATCAGTTTCTACAGTTGGATGTTTTTCCAGCCAGTGAAAAAATGCACGGAAAAACCTTCTTTGTCTCATTTGGTTACAATATAAAGCATTATTATGAGCGCTGGGGAGTTTTTGGAAACTTCCTCATAGTCATTTCCCTCAGTCCTCTGGTTTATATTCTTACTGGACGGTCATTTTGGCAGCTCAGGGATTAGTAATCACACAATGCAATAAAATTGGCACTTTATTGATCTCTGCAGAAATGTTTTTTCCACTTGCGTTCTTCCAGGCAGGTCAAAGGCACAAGGGCAGCTACAGAACAGCTTCTGGAGCTGGCAGGGATTCAGTATGTTGCTTGGAGACACTTTTGGTGGCCAGATGGTGGCCAACTTAAGGTTTCAATGACAGTTGGAGGATGAATAAAGCGCTCGCCTTTTAATTTCAGACGTATAATTAGGAAAACACAAATAGCCAGTCTTAAAACTTAAAGGGATACTTCAACCCCCAAATGACCGCAATTACTCACCCTGTGTTACGTTGAATTCTTGAAGGAAACTTTGTTTTTCTTGCAAGCCTTTGGTGCATGAAAACTCCCAAAATGGAGAAGATTCTTGATGAATTGAAGTCTGAGTTAAACACCACAAATCTATATAAAAACTGTTTATAATTTCTCATACAACTTGTGCAGTATAATCCAAGTTTAATTTATCCATTCGTATAGTGAGGAACTCCCAAACACAAACTTTTTCGCTAAAGCCTTATTATTCAAAACACTTCTGCATAAACAGCACAGACGCACATCTCGTCCGTGCCTGAGACTGTTTATGCAGAATGTTCAGGGTGAGCAATTGCAGCACATTCTCACTCCGACCTTGTCACATATTGGTGTTTGGTCATGGACCTTCCACATCCAGATACGATGTGAAAGGTATCCTGGGTAAGTTGGGCTGCCGTGTCAAGTTCTGCCTGTTACATGCATTGCCTTCTTTCAAAATACACTTCCATCTTAACAAGAAATTTACCATCTACATAAAGTGTCTTTCAAAAAAACGCACTACGTCAGTACAACAAAGCGAATTGACGTTTTTTTCCCTTTAACAACAAATGCACGTGGTTGGGTTTAGGAAAAAAGAACAGGGTTTGGCTTTATAATCTTACGGGACCTTCAACACCGCTCTACTGGGATAAAGTTGGTGTTCGATGTCCTTCACATTTGTTCTTGTCCTGGCGCGTTTCCCCATGATGCTGCCGAGCACTGTTAAATTATAACGGCAACTGGTCGTGTATCATGCCGACGTTAAAGGAGGGCATTTTCATCAGTGTCTGACACCGCAAGTCACGGCCTAAGCGCCGGATTTGACGACTTCGGAGTGAGACCGGGTTTGCAGTTCATATACAAATGTTCATTTAGAGAGGTGAAGTATTCCTTGAATATGTCAGTTCATGTCATACTGTATTTTTGCTTCAATAAGAGCAGGCTGCAGATAGTATAAAGATTGATTGGTAGCGAGTTGTTCGTTGTACTCTTTTGTCCAAAGCTAGAGTTTGACTTGGGTCTGTGAAGAGAGATCTGAAGTCAGACTTAAATGCACAACCATTAGTTGAGTCCTAGTCTTTCTTTTCTGTCATTTCTTGGTCCTTCATGTCTGTGTTAGCATCCATCCTTTGATATGTCTTTGTGTCTATTGGCTATTTTTCATGATTTGTGTGTGTGTGTGTATCATGTGCAGTCTGTGTGTGTGTTTGTCTGTCGGGTGGATTTTTTAATTCCCAGAGTTTAGCCCCTGGCCTGCAGGGCAGTGTGGGGGGACTGTGAAGGCCTGAGGGGGATCAGTGTAGATCAGAACAGATCAGCAGGGATCATTCGGGATCACTGGCCCTCTCTTTGATCCACTCATCCTGCCATTTCACCATTCCCACACAATTCTCAAATTATTACCATACTAGCCATATTCAAAACACCCACATGTTAGTAAACACATTTTTTTGCGACCGGAGATGTGTGGCACTCTGTTGTGCCG